CATGAAATCAAATCAGATGAGACCACCCAGGGTAAAGGGATTTGTTACTGATTACGAATGTTGTTAGGGCAGTGAATGTGTGCTCTCCTTTTAGAAGCACGCTATCTTCTCACGTAGGGGGTCCTCAGAAAACTCCAGAGCTGAACTGACAGCATCAGCTACATCAGCCCTGTGGCCCTGCCCTACAAGCCTTGGCTTCTCCAGGTTTTGACACTTGCCATGGGGTGCATTCAGCTTGAGTCTGGCACCCCGCATAGCTGAGGTCCTAAGGGTCAGAAGCAGACCAGTTCCCCATTCAGCCATCTCTTCCCTGTGAAACACAGCTTCCTATGTGCTCCTCCATGCAGGCAGCCAGTGATCAAAGCCCTGGGTGGGCAGTGGAAACTCGCAGGGACTGTCACAGCAGGCTGGGGAGGGACAGGATGGGGGCTGACCTGACCTTGGCCCCCACCATTGCGGTGCCTGCCCTCCCTTCCCTCAGGCAGCTCATGATGATCACTGAACTTCCCATTGAATTCCTGTCTCCCGTATTTATTACACAGACTCTTACAACCACGTTGGCTCTGTGTCTGATGTCACGAAGATCAATAAGCTCATCTCCAAAAGCCATGCTCTCGAGCTCAACTGGTCTTGGGGTCCTCAGAGAGCAGGGGGTGGGGCTGCTCAGTGGACTGGCCGTGCACCACAGGCAGGAAGACAGTTTGCCAGGCCATCCTGGATGCAAAACCATCCCTAGAAAACTTCAGTCACTGTTTGAAATTTTTGGCCGTTTGAAATTCTGCTCAAATCCTTGCACAACGGTTTGCATTTTGTCATTTCACGCTGGTTGGCAAGGGATTTGGTCAGAAAAGTTGGATGTCAGATGCTGAGGAAAGATCATCAAGGAGTGATGGTGTAAAAATCCCACAGCAGCTGATATGGGGAAGAGACAGGCTCTCCTCTTTCAGAATGAAAGACAGCAGGCTCAGGCCCAGAGGCATCAACTCAGTGAGAAGAATTACTTTGCTTTGTCTAACTTGCAGAAAAATAAAACACAAGAGTTCTAAAAGCATGACCAGAAGCAGGCCAGCCTGAGGTACGTCAGACTCTGGAGTCAGGCACACCCTGCTGGGTGACCTTGGGCATGTGGCTGAACCTCTCTGAGTATAAGTTGTCTGTTCTGAGAAATGTGGATGCTAATACTGACTTTGGAGCCATCAGGGCCCTTTGCAGAAAGAGGGGAACCAAGCAGGGGTGCTAACGGTCTGCTAGCAACAGTCCCAGCTGATGCAGACAGGCTGGGCTCCCAGTCAGCCTGAGGCAGACCAGTAACTGGGCTCACACTGGCTGAATGATGACATGCAATCTTGTGTCCTCACTCTCTCAATTTTACCGAGAAGCAGTGGAAATAGCAAAAGCAAAACACATCGACTTCTGCATGCTGGGAGGGGTGCACAAGCAGAGAAGAACAGATCATAACTTCTGACCAGAAAACCATGGGATGGGGATCAGTTGATAGCAAGTCAGAAGGAGAATATGAATAAGCATTTTGACAACTACTCAGAGCAAAAAAGAAAGGAAACAAAATTCGACAAAAAGGATCAGAGCTTCTCATATCTCACTCATGGTAAAAGCCAAGGCCTGGGAGACACGGGCCACACCCCCTCCTGTCTCTGACCTTCTCCCCTGCACATGTTGGACACAGGGGCCCCTTCTGGTCCTCAGACAGACCTGATGACATGTTCCTGCCTCAAGGGAATCAGAAAAAGATAAATTTTCTAAAAGATAAAGTCATCACACTTGCACAAACATAAAATGAACATGTCAAAGATTTAAGTCATTAATTAAAGAGGGAACCAGCAAGGTGTCAAAAACCAATTCTGAGGAGGATCCAAAGAGCAGGCCACCAGGAACGTCGATGCAATCTGTTAACAGAGGAATCAGTCCACTAGACAAGATCCATTTGCTTCTCCATGGACTAGAATCATCTGCAGTGCTATTAGTTTTCTAGAACTTATAGAGCTGAAAATTAGTCCGAAGACCATGACAGGCTGAGTCTACTACAGAACAGATAACCCGGGAGGTGACCACACCTAGCATGCCACAGGACACTGGTTATCTTTCTCTTCTTCATCATTTTTTTCTTTTTTGGCATTTCAATGTCTTTTACAACCTTTCCTGATAGGTCTTTTGTACTTGTTCTTTCTGCCAAAAACATTTACCTCCCTGATGCTGTATGACTTGTTCCTTCGCCGCCTCCTAGCCATTCTGCTGGTCTCAGGCCCTGCCTCTGGCTTTAGCACTTGCTCGTTGCTCTCCCTGGTGTATTTTTCTTGAAGCCCCTATAATCCGGTGTGTGCTCTCCCCTCTTCATTTCTCTCTCTACCTTTCCCTAGAGGGCAGGGATTTTTGTCTGGTTAGATTACTGCTGTGTCCTCGGATGCTAGGACACTGCACAGTAACAGTGTGTAAGCCTTCACTAAATATTGGTTGAGTGAATGAACAAATGAAAAACAGCTACGGTGGTGAGAAGGGGAGGTCTGGATGGACAGTTCAGAGGATGATTCCGGAGATGCAAACATAGGTTGGCCAGTTCCACTCACTTCTTGAAAACAGGCTACTGCTCCACCCTCTTCCCATCGCACCTTATTTAGAAACAGCCTCCCTCCACATTAGGTCTGAATATTTGATTATGCATATGTCATAACAGAATCTCCTAAAACCTCCTTCTCCGAGGCCCAAATTACCTTTCCTCAGCTGGAGAATTGTGCCACATTCAAGAGCTGCTGCTGATGTCCTTTCAGTGATGGCCTCCTGGGCCCCCAAACCCCAGGCCAGCCATGACTGTATAATGAGACTTTGAGCACCAACCAGTTAACCTTCTTCAGGAGCCATTAACAGTGACAACACTGAATCTAAGAGATTCACTCCCTAAGATCCCATTCCACATGTGGACCCATGTGATACCATGATAACACACAAAGGCCACAATGGAGCAGCTGCAACTCATAAGGAGGTGGGTCTCGCCTCTGCTCTGTTACCTTTGTAATCTACCTGCCTCCTCTGCTGTGGCTGAGAAACTCCCTGAGGCCTAGGATGCTTTCCCTACCAATCACATCCCTGCTGTCCTCCCCGCCCCTCCTAGGAGCTGGGATTGGATCTTCAATCAGGCCAAGGTGAAAACAACTGGAAACTAAGTGTGTGACTCATCTGCGCTGCAGGTGACCATGTCAACAGCTGTCCCCGACACCCAAGGCCCTGACAGCTGCCTACTCCAACTATCTGCAACCCTGCTGAGGGCTAGAGGCTCTGGCTATCAGAGCACACTCAGTCCACGCATGGGGCTGGCAAGCAGAGGTGGTGTCCAGAGCTGAGATCCATGGAAGCAGCTGTCAACCTATGACAGAAGGCAGTTGGCAGATAAATACCCCAGAGAAACCCAATAGGAATGAGCCCTGTCGTGCACAGTAGTAGTTTGCTTTTTAAGACATTCTATTTTGGCTTCCCTCCCTTCCCTGTCTCATTTGTCCTCTCAAATAAACTACACACACTCAAATTCTTGTCTTGGGTTGACTTCCAGGGGAATCTAAGACACCTGGGAAGGGAATACATTCTATTTCATTGGTGACTCATTTATTAGCATAACTGCAAGCCCTCACAGGCTGGACCACACTGCACCCAAATGTGGCCTGCATACATTGCCCCCACCCAGGCTCTGCCATCAGCACAGAGTAATGGGAATGTGTGACAGGAAGAGAGCTGTAGCCAGGGGACTGCAGTCTCAGAGCCAGACCTGAATCTGCAGACTCAAGAACAGAGAGGCCCAGAGAGGCCCAGAGAGGCCCAGAAAGGCTGAGGCCGCTGCCCACAGTTGCATAGTGTAGCGGCAACTGACATGTCGCTGGGGCCCAGGCTTTCTTCTGCAAGCAACCACCAATACCAGCAATGCTTTTCCTTCCATCCAAAGGTGAAAATGGTGAGGAGCCATCTATAATCACTGTTCACTTTGAGCAAGATTGCATTCAGAAAAATCCTTGAACTTCAGGCTTAAAGTAAAGCAGGATAAAGCAACGAAGAAACCCCTGGAATGAGCATCCAGCAAGGATGCTTTTTTCTGCTCATCCTCTCCTCAGAGCAGCCTGGCCAGCTGTCTGGCGACTGTAATTTTCTCACCATCCATCAGGGAAATAAAGCAGCCCATCCCAGAAATGATGCAGAGATGGCTGTTTTGCAGTGACCCAATCGCATCACAGCATGGAAAATGTATTCTCTCTCAAAAGCTGTTAGTGGCTCATGCCTGGACTCTAATGTCAAACTGGAATAGAGTGAGAGATGTGACGGACATGTTTGGAATGCTTCCCCTATCCTGAATCAATGCTCCTTTCAAAACTGTGGCTTACACAGAATGATAGCATGTCCCCCTCCTTAAGGAAAGACCCCCCAACACACACACACACATTAACGAACAATCACATGAGCCTACTGAGACAACACATCATTTTGTGCGCCTGAACGTTAGCAGAGAGTATTAAGCTCAACATCTCTCAAAATCCCCAGGTGTGCATCCTTGTCAGGAGTTAACTTCTGGGGGAGCCTAAGACACTTGGGAAGGAAATACATTCCATTTCACTGGTGAAATCGATTAGCACTCTTACAGGCCAGCAACCTCTCGTGCCGTTAAACACAACTGGTGCCATTCAGGAGGCAAAGGTACTGCCACATGCAAGAATGCCTCAGTGCCAAGATGCAGGGAAATAATCTATGCACTATGATGCATAGTCCTATAGACATGGTCATCTTAGGCAGCATGCCGGGTGACTCAAACCTGCACACCAAAGCAGAGGTCACCGGAGGGGGGACAGAGCTGATTTTTAAACACCTGGCCACTTACAGAGCCTCAAAGGGGGCAACGGTCTAATTATAAATAATGTACCCAGCATTTCTATAAAGTACTCAAATATGCTTTATTGTTAAACATATGCCACAATAAAATCATTTTTCCTTTTGCACACTGTGCTTACCTGTTATAGAGAAGAATGTCTGGCTTCCAAATCTGGCCATCTGGGAAACGAACATTCGTCACACCCGGATACTCTGACATATTCCACTGTAAATAGTGATCTGTCCAAGACTGACACATATAGGCAATGACATTAAAGCAGCACTTTGCTTCCTTGTCTAATGATATTTCTCATAAGAAATTATTGGGTAAGTTCAAAGCCAAAGAGAGTTCCAGACATTTATTTATGCAATTGAGTTGCTGTCTATAAAATATAAGGAAATTGGGGATTCAATAATACCTTCCAAAATGACCATGTATAACATAAAAATGGCATTTAAGATCCTGCCTTCACCATGACCACATTCAGACAGTAGCATTCCAGTTAATTCCAGCCCACTGCATGCCCACAAGCCTTCCCCTCCCACAGCAGATGGGTTATTTCTAGCCAAATGAATAACTACTTTGCTTTCAAAGTTTTCCATTGTAAGGACACTTTGGAAAAACAAGTTCACTTATTTCAGTTGGAATAAGCAGCAGGCTGGAGAAATATAGAATATGTATTTTCATGAAACAACATTGTGCAGCTGCATAGGAACCTCTCAGAAACTTCTAAGGGTAATTTTCAGACTTGAATTCTTATTTTCTTGCACGATTGGGGCTTCTGATGGCAGAAATGAACAATGTAAACACTCGGCCTTGGTGGTAAGACACTGAATTAGGACATGAGGATGCAGGTGAGGACTCGGGAAATATTCACACAAACACAGTACATCTCCTGGGGCTAGGCCCTAATTTCATTCTCAAGTGACCTTTGCCAGAGGAAGGCCATGCCTGGGATCCTCCCTCCCCAGACCTCACACACCAGGCCTACCTGGGGTTCACTACTTCCGTAAAGGCTGCTCAGGGAGGAACCACCTGCAGCTGTTATACAACCAATAGCACCCTGCCCGGCTCTCAAGGCTGCAGGTTTGAACTCAGCAGCTCCACCAAGTGTGCCATAATCAGGGCATGCCCTGGGATGGGCCCCCATCCTGCATCCAATCTCCCTGGGGCCACTTGTGCTTTGGAGCTCAGACTTTCTCAGATTTAGAAAGGTATGTGATGTAACACCCCAAGCTGGGACCAGGGCAGCTCCCCATAATCAAATGCATCATTATTTCTGCAGTGAAACATGCATATTTATACCAAGTGAGGCAAAGAAATGCCTCAAGTGTACAGCAATTTCAATTTGATTTTAGTCCAATGAATTTGATGCAAAGTTACAAAAACATTAAGGGAGAAAAAACAGTTAATTTTCAAAGCTGTTGAGACTGGCAACAAGTAGTTAAAGGTCATGTCCCAGAGATCCCACCATTCTCTGGAGAGAGCAGGCAAAAGTCAGGAATGGCTGTCCCAGTTCTGGGACTGAAATCAGACGAGGTAATAGGCAGGGCAGTAACACCATTTTACAGCCATGGACCTCTGAGAACGAGGGTGTGTTTGTTAATGTATAATGTGCTGAAGAATCATCTGGGGCAGTTAGGATAGAGACCCACCCGGCTGCTGTTTCTAATTAGATGTGTGTGGCTGGTGGAGGGGAGGGGAAGGAGAGGAGAGGGGAGGTCAGGACAGCATCGCACCCAGGAAGGGCCAGTCTTGTTCAAGTTGTTTTGCAGGAACGCCTGGGCACCAGCTAAACTGTGTTTGCTGCAGCCCGCTCAGCCTCTGCACCATTTGGCCAGAGCTCCCTTCTTTTCTCTCCCTCATTCAGGGCATAAGCCCTTTCAGACCCAACCCCAGTGCTTTCTTTACTGTGATCTCATAGCTCACCCTGGATGCTTCTCTGAGTTGGGGGCAGATTACCATACAGCCTGCTACTGTCACTATCACCCCCATGCTGCGCAGGCCTTAGGGCTCCCAGACCTGCCCAGAAAGGTGAGCATGGTAGGCACACACTCATCTCCCCTGCTTGCTGAAATGATGGGCACAGGGAAGTGGGAGTGCTTGGTCAGCCAAACATAAACCTCTTCTAATAGCTCCACATCTGAGTTGCAGGACACCTCCCCAGCAATTTTATATCTCCTCCTGCCATCCCGAATCCTGCTCTTACTCAGCTGCATGTGCCCCATGGGCATGCATCCTGGCCGTTCTGCTCGCTCAGGGTCCTGTGTATGTATACCCATGCTCACCAGGATCCAGATGTGTCAGCAAGATTACATTCCTATTTACAAGAGGAGATTGGGGCACAGAGAAGCAACACCTTTTTAGTCAGTCACTGACTCAGGACTCAGAACTGCATTATCTGACATTAGCAGGGTGATCAATCGTTGGTTCTTCCAACCCAATCTCTCTGCACTGGCAGACTTTGCACCACGACACGTGGGCTGCTCCTCATCCCTGCCAGTGCTGTCCATCAGCTCACAGTGCCCTTCCTTACTCCAAAGGCAAGCTGGGTCTCTCCACCCTAGGAGCAGAGAGAAGGGCTGCTGGGCACTTTGGAATCAGAGAGACCAAGGTTTGCACCAGGGCTCTGGTAGAGAAGAGCTATGTGAGCTCAAGCAGGTAAATCACCCTCTCTGAACTGCCGTTTCCTCCTATGTGCCCTACCTCACAGGACAGAGCTGCAAGGATGTCATGAGATAATGTGTGAAGCAGTACGTAAACATCACATGACCCTGGTAGGCATGTCATAAATGATGGCTTTAAAAGAAAGAGGGTTTCCTCCATTTTACAAAATCCTAGAGGATGTGAGAGCTGTAACAACTGAGCTGCAGGCAAAGGCGGAGAAGAGTGGGCACCAATTCGGAGCTGGGAGTTGGAGCACGAACCTCAGTGCTGCGTGCCCTGGGAGCCGGAGCAGAGCTCACAATCCCTCAGGTTTCCATGAAGGTTTCCTAAGGACCGATGTAGAAAGGGGCTTGTAAAATATTAAGTCCCAGAAAGAGGTTTGCTTCCTCTCAAAGCACTCACTTGCCAGGCAGATCCCTGGGAATGTCCTGGAGGGCAGAGGCACGGGGCAAAATCTTCCTACACACAGCACCCGGCATGTTTTCCATATATGGGCACCTGAAAATAAGCATCGATCTAGAAACGCCAACACTCCCAGATCTTCACCTCCAGAAGTCTGTGCTTTTCCTCTTCTCCCTACGTCTGTGTGATTCTTCTCATTCAATCTTCGACAGGAATGTGTGGGGTGTTAAAGGGGACACATGGGACAGGAAGGGGCCCTTGATCTAAAAGGCACTGTAGAGAATCCCTATCCTTCTGTGGAGCTGAGAACTGGGCCCACTAGAACCACTCTTAGAAACTCTTTTTAAATGTGTGTGTACGTGCATGTCTGGAAATCTTTATAGCAAGAGAGAAAGAGATAGCAAGAGCGAAGAATGGGAAAGTTGTCTGTGTTTTTAGAAAAAATCCTTTATGGTATAATAAAAAATATAGTTGGTCTTCATCCCAGGTTCCAGCACAGGGATCCTAAAACCCTTGGAATTTTCTGAGTGATAGGAGTGTCTTGTGTTACTCACAAAGAGCCCTCTTTGAGCACACCTGAGGTTATTCTAATGAAGTAAGGTGACTTAGGGTGGGCCCCTAGATAGGCCAAGGATGCCATCTTGCAGCTGGTGACCAGAAAGGCCAACCACATGACTAGGGGGTGAGAACTTTCAGCCTCACTCCACTCCTATCTCTATGGAGACTGGGTTATAAAAACCCTTGAACAACAAGATTTAGAGAGCCTCTAGGCTGGTGAAGACATGCAGATGCAAGGAGGGTGTCTTGCCACAGAGGGCACAGAAGCTCTGCGCCTCCTCCCATACCTCCTCTACGCGTCTCTTCCATCCAGCTATCCCTGAGCTGTACTGTTTATAATAAATTGGTGGATGTAAGTAAAGTGTTTTCTTAAGTTCCATGGGCTGTTCCAGAAAATTACTGTACCTGAAAGGGGATAGTGGGAAACTCTGAATTTGAACACAGCTGGACGAAGTGTGCACAGCCTGGGCACCCCATTTGCAGCAGGCATCTGAAGTGGGGGCAGTTTTGTGGAACTGAGGCCTTAACTTGTGAGATCTCATGCTAACTCCAGGTAGATGGTGTCAGAATCGAATTGAAAGGTTGGACACCAAGTTGGTGTTCCGAGATTCAGAGAATTGTCTGTTGGTGTGGAAGACACCAAGTATCTGGTGTTAGAAAACTCCACCCATATATCTGTTTTGAAAATTCTTCCTGCCAAACTATTTTGATCTCAGAGGAAGAAAGCGGCCTCCTTCTCACTTCCCCAAAAGTTTTTTCTCTCAGTGAGATATAATGATTGAAACATCACCCTAAGCCATGGATTACTCTCAGGGCCCTAAGCAAGCCAAGGGCTGGCTTATCTATGAGCATAATCTGTGGCATTTCTGTGTGTCAGAGATAAAGTGATAAAGAATGCAGAAATTAAAAAGGTAAACATTTTAGAAAAAAATATGTTTACAAACTAACATTCTACGATATAACAGCTATTAGCTCCATGATTAGCAGGTAAAAAATAGAGAATAAACATGAGAAGGATGGGAAATGTAAAGCCAGAAGAATAGTCAAAATTCCAAAATAAGACAATTTAAAAAAAAAAAAACAATTAGCTTCAGATGGCTCAAATGTCTCTTCAGAAACTGACATGGTTTCTTCATTTCTTCTCATGGATTAAAATCAGATTGTCTGACAGGCCTCCCAAAATGATAAAACTAACCCACAGAGAAAATACACCTGCTGCTTCCTCCCAGGAATATGAAGAGGTAAGTGGTGAAGCCACCGTCTCTCCCTTTAGTAATCTAAAGAACTGGAAATTCCTACAAAATCAAGGTAAGTGAGAGACATGAAAACAAAATCAAACTGTAGGACAAAGAGAACTCTTTTTTTTAACTTTTCTGCCTCTTCTATTTTGAATGTATAGAAAATCTATCATTTGCAGAATATTGACCTCAGAGCTTAAATATCCTGGAGAAAATATTATGCGGATTCAGATTTTCAGAACAGGAATTCAGCAATATGAAACTCTGGGAGAGAAAATCCAACTGCTGAGAGCCATTTCCTAAGCTCTCCATTCCCCTCCTGCTCATGTCTGTCCTCCCACGGGACTCCAGCTCTGTTAGCCTTCGATATCGAGCTTCACTTGTTTGTACCCAAGATTCCTGCCGGGTCAGGCCATTCTGGCCACTAGTTGGAGAACACAGAAGACCGGAAATCAAGGTGGTGGTGGTTTTCTAAATAGCCCCGGGGCAGCTTCCACAGCCTGTCATGGTGACATCTGAGTTCCCCATGTCCCTGCTGTGACTGCAGAAGGAATGCCATGGCTTTCCAGAGGGAAGCACTGGCTAGGCCAGATGTTCTGATCATATAACTATTAAGGTCTGTTCTAAACCCAAGATACTTGTAACCCCCTAAGATTCAGTGAGGAGTCAGTGTTACAGCTGCTACATGAGCTACAGGTGCCATTTTCTAGATAAATGTGTCACTTAGCTTTATAAGGACACATGCATGTTTTCCATATGATGGGTGCCTAAAACAAGTATTAATTAATGATGCCACACCTAGAAATGCCTATGCTGCCAGATCTTCACATTTAAAAGAGTCTATGTCTTTCCTTCTCTCTCTTCCATTCCTGTAAAGCAGAGATATCTCCCACCTGGGGGATCCATTGTCCATACTATGAGCCTGCCTCCTGCCACGTCTCTAGGGAGTTACTTGTTCTTGATATTTTAACTTTTTTTAGAGTGTAAATTTCACAGCCTGATTATAAATGGTTTGAAAGAAGAAACTGGTCTCACCCAATTCTGGGTCCCCCTCACATGGCCTAGTTCAATGTCTTCCATATAGCAGGTGCTCAAAAAGATTAGCTGAATCAGTCAAAGAGATTAAAAGTTGAGTTTTAAAACAAATGAAGCTGCAGATGCTTACGCAAGTGCAAGTCTTAATGAGAAATAAGTTATGCTTGAAAGAAATTTAGAGGTCTCTGGTGACATCACCCAAAGCAAGGGTGCTTATCTATGGAGCACCAGAACTCAGTGCAATAATCCATATACATTTTTTCTGGAAACCATCACTCTCTAAAAGAAATTGCCAAATCATACACATTGCTGAAGATAATTGCTTATTGAGGGGTAAGAAATACAGGCACCAGGGAGACAAACCTGTCCAGGACCTAATATGTCACGAGCATATGAGGTATGTCTCTCTCTGTAAGAAAAATGTCAACAGCAGTTCTGTACCTTACAGGGCATGGGAAACATATAGTTGTATGTAAAAACAGAAGCATTTGCATCATCTTCCCAAATTCCCAGAGCTTTATCTTATCCCACAGTGTTCAAAAGTTACTTGAGAGTTGGCTTATTTCATATCATAGTATCTTAGCCCCTCCTGGGTTCACCTTGAGGTTTTTGTTTCATTCATTCATTCCATAAAACTTATTCATTCAGTGCCTGCCGTGGGCTAGGAGCTGGGGGTATCCAAACAGAGCCCTGGCCTCCTCGTGCACACATCCTAGTCAGGGAGGGAGACCCAGGTCCCATCAACAAATACACAGTGCGAAGGATGGCACACGGTGACAAGTGCTTTGGAAACAAAATGAAGCAGCGTTGATGGATGAGATGTTTGTTTCCCCCCAAAATTCCAATGTCAAAGCCCTAATCCCAATGCGATGCTATTAGGAGGTAAGGCTTTGGGGAGGTGCTTAGGTCATAAGGGTAGAGCCTTCGTGAAGGGGATTTGAGCCCTTTTAAGAGGAGGCCAGAGAAAAAAGAAGAAAGTGTAGATAACTGAGGGAAGATACAATAAAAAATAGGAAATGCCCAGAAAAGAAAAGAAAAGAGGCCAGAGAGCTAGCTCACACTCTTTCTACCATGTGAGGGCACAACAAAAAGGTGCCTGTCTGCAATCCGGAAAAGGGTCCTCAACGGAACCCAATCACACTGGCAACAACCATGATTTTGGATTTCTAACACCCAGACTGTGAGGAATAGATGTCTGTTGTTGATAAGCCCCCTAGTTTATGGTATTTGTTATAGCAGCCCGAGCTGACTGAGACACAGGGTAAAGAGAATAGAGTGAGCTCCAGGAAGAGGAGAGGGTTTGAGACAGTACATGGGAACTCAGGGAAGACCTCACTGAAAAGGTGACCTTGAGGAAGAGACTGTTAAGAAGTGAGGGAGAAAATCAAGTGGTTCTTGAGGAAAGAGCTTTCTGGGCAAAGGCCCTGAGGTGGATGTGTGCTTAGGAGATGTGGGCAGGACATTCAGGAGTGCAGTGATGGGAGAGGAAGCAGGGTCAAGGCAGGCAGGGAGTCAAAAGCCACTTCAAAGATTTCAGTTCATATGCCGCTGAGCGAGGCAGGAACCCCTGGAGGGGTCTGAGCCAAGAAGCCTCAAGGCTGAACTTCTATCGTCTCTTAACTAGGATCACACTGACTGCTATGATGAGAAGAGGCACCACCAGGGGAGGTAAGGTCTGACACAGGAAACCTGGCTAGGAGGCTTTGTAATAACAGAGGTGAGAGATGACGCTGGCTTATACCAGGATGGAAGCAATGGGGTTGATGCCCAATGGTTAGATTCTGGATCTATTTTGAAAGTCTCACTGCCAGAACTTGCTGCCAGAATAGATGTGTGTGTGAAAGACAAGAGTAACAAGTGATTCTGAGGCTTTTGGTCTGAGCATATTGATAAATGGACACACTATTTATCCAGATGGAGAAGGCTATGGGAGGGGCAAGTGTGAAAGAGAAAAGAGGGGATAGTTTGATACATACTGGGTTTAAGAACCTATTGGACACCTGTATAGCGACACCAAGGAGGTAGCTAGAGCTCATCAAAGGTGCTTTAAGCCGGGAGAATGATCCTCCAGCTCCTGGAATGATGAATGGCTGGAGAGACATGAAGAGACAGCAGAAGGGACTCAGGAACCACCAGTGAGTTAAGACGAAAACCTAACAGAGAGCTATCCCGACACTCAGCGAAGAAGGATTTCAAGGAAGAGGGAACAATTCAGTTCTATCAAATGCTCCTGAGAGGTCGAGTAAGATAAAGAGAAAAAATTAATCACTGGAAAAACCAGAACAATGCTGTTCCTTCCCATTGAGGAGCGGTGAGGGTAGGGCAGGAATTGGCAGGAAAGGGACTCAGTATCCCCAGAATGATGGTGCAGTTCTGCTCCCGGATGGGGGCAGGGCTGCAGACCTGAAGACATCACAGGCAATTCATTGCCTGATACACTTAGGATATGCGCATAGCATTGTATGTGAACTTTGCCTTGAGAGGAAGGAAAAAATATATAAACTCAAAGATCTGCATGAAATATGCAGTGAAAGTGCACCCATGTCCACTATTCTACTTTGAACTGCATTAAAAAATAAGCTAGATCAATAGAAAAATGGACAGATGGCCAGAGATGGGATAAAGCATGCAGAGTCAAGTGCTAATCACAGAATCTAGGAGGTGGATATACGGATGCTCACTGTAAATTCACCTTTTCAATATCTTTAAAATTTTTTATCAAAAAAATTGGGATAAACCACTACTTATAGCATTTAACAACCTGGGATTAGTGGTTTGCTTGCCCAAAGCCAAATAAGGGTGAATTTAGCTGAGAATGAAGGAGAGAGAATGAGGACAATGGGAGGACACTGCCTGGAGAAACCTTGCTGTAAAGGTGAGGAGGAAACCAAGGAGTCGCTGGGCAGGGTTGACGGGGACATGCTACAGCATGCCTGCTTGCCAACGAGAATGACACATGGAGAATGATGATGCCAGAGGCATAGGGACATTGTGAAGCAAGGTTCTCAGCAGGTCCCAGGAGGTGAGACCTTGTCCCCTGGAGGAAGGACTGGCCTTCAAAGGGAGCACAGATCCTGCACCCACGGCAAAAGAAAGCTAAGGGTAAGTGGGCACAGGTGTGAGGGTGGGATTCCCTCACTGAAGAGTGTTGCTTTAAATCCTGTGGGGAAAATTCCCAAGGGTTTCTGCTTTGCCCATTATGGGTAGGTTCTACAAGGGGTCTCAGACACAGCTAAGCGCACCCTGCGACACGCAGCAGATGGCTATAAGTGAATCTTTTTTCTCTCCTTCTGCTTCCACTTGTATTACCCCTAAAACTCACCTGCCTAAGAACCATGTGGGTGTCACCTTTACCTCTGAGTTCACTTCTCCTACCCCCACTTTACAAAAAAAAACTATTTCTCTTATCTCAACTCTTATCCTGGGACATTGACCCCAGAAGCAAATAAAGGGTCCATTCAAAATACCAGTATCTATGTGAATTGTGTTAAAAATTGGGTGACAAATACTTCCAAAGATCAGATGGGCTTTAATTCTTTTAATTCTTTGCTTTCAGCAAAATTGAAGGAGAAACTAATCAAGCTGTGAGCTGATACCTTGAAGAAAATGATATTATTTTTGGCATGCAATCTAGAAGAAGTTCAAGGAATTGAATTACACTGCTGTGACAAAATGTCTCTCATTATGAACTATACCTTTTACTACATCTATTTTTAAAAGTTATAGAATTGATTGTGAAATCTGTATCAACACCTTGATTCTAGTAATAAAGTCATCTATGAATACATAAATGAATTTAAAACAAAGCCCTACCTTTGATACAGAGATTAATTTCCAATTTTTATGCTTAATAATTATTTATTAAAATTTGTAATTAGTATCACCTCGAAGAATTACCAATAATCATGGTAATTCTAAATCAATCCAGAAGAAAGAAATTTAACACTTCTTTTCTGAGGGAATAATTTTATGTAAATATTTACATTTGAGAGAACCAAGACAGAATGATTAATAAAGGACTTTCAAATAAAAATTTATACCATATTAGGATAAAGTTATGTGTGGAAAGTGGAATAGAAATGCAAGCACAAAGAGAAAACGGGGCTATGTAAAACATCTGGCAGTTGAAGAAGGGCTTGTTCGTATATTTTTTAAATGAATGATCTGGGCATCAAATTACTGTGGCATTTAGATTCCACTTAAAATAGAGACTATTTTATTTTCAAATGTCAATATTTACAGTTTGATGGAAGGGACATAATTAGCAATTAATTAAATGTAGATGATAATTTTAGGATGTCAAGCTAAAAGTCCATGAATGGAAGAATATAACATTTCAACATTCTCACAGGCATCACCAGAACAGGAAGTGTGAAGATCTCTGGCTTAGGCAACACCCTGTGGATGCAAATATGCACCTCTGGAGGGACTGGAGAGCAAGGCAGGCACTCCTGAGCCATGGGGACCGGTTATGGTGCAGGCTGTGGACATCTAAATGCAGATCTACATCTTAAAATTTGTGTTGCATGAAGTGCTTTTGAAATTTCCCCAAATCACCCTGTAGTGAAATACAAACACATGTGAGCCTTGCAGAATGCAGAGCGACACATCCAAAGGCGGGACGCTGTACTTCACTGCTGGACTATTGGAGTAAGGGGTGACAGTCCTGGCTTTTCTCAAAGGACCTCTGCTTTCCCTGCAATTCAAACACAAGCATCTCAGAAGCAAGAGCAGGAAGAGCCATGGGTGAGGACTGCCATTGTCTCAACTTACCATTTGCAGCCAAATGTTGGTGGTTAAAACTTGGTTCTTCTCATCCTTTAAAGGAAAAAAAAAAAAAAAAACAATCAGAAATATGGTTTATGTGGTTTACAAAAGAAGAAATGATACAATTATTCATGTTGGAAACTGACTGTTAGGACTGCTGGAGTGTGTGAAAATCAGAATGCACCAAGCACTTTCAAACACACTCAAGCACCATTTCCCCAAAGTGAAGCTTTTCTATTTATTCTGAAGTAATACACATTTATTATAGAGTACTTACAAAAGATGGAAAAGCATAAAAAGGAAAAATTAAAACGCCGCAACCTCACCTCCAGAGATGACATCTGCCAATGTTTTAGCTTATTTTTCTCATTAGTACATTTTTTATAACTTAAAAATATATATAAAATTAGGTGCAAATTTCAATTTTTTTAATTCAAACTTATTACCAGAACATACAGGGTTTTAAACAACTGTAAGTATTGTATGTTTCCCTCCCTGGGAAATGGTGCATGGCCTCTGTCAGCTGCCTTGCCATGTGCTGATGGTGCTGTGTGGGTCACGTTCTCCATGGTCCCTGAGGGTCTGTCTGCCTTTTCTCTCATCCTATTGATCTACCAGGCAGCATGCCAGGTCCTTGACAATTACCCATAAGATAAATCCTGTCCAGGTGAGGAAACTGAAGGTCAGAAGGGTGAGGTGATTTTATGAAGGAGCCATTCAAACTTGGATCCTTCTCACTCAAGAGCCCCTTTTTTCGTTTCCAAACTGCCTAAGTATGGGATCCAGCAGGGTGCCAAGTCTACACTTAAACTGGAGCTTGGGCTGCTGTATCAACTGTGGCTTTTCCCTGGCACAGGGCACCTAAAGAAGATTCTAGTCAACATCAGCTTTTCCAACTGGGATACAACCAGCTTTTTATCACAGCTGGACAAACCCAGCAAAGCCTAGCAAAAGCCAGTGTGCATAGAGACAAAGGAGCAAGTTTCCTGCAATAGTTACACTGAGAATGCTGTTATTCAGTACTTAGTACTCAATTCCAACCTAAAGGATCCTATAAATCAGCAACTGCCACCCTCTTCAGGTGAAAGTATTCATCAATGTCCCCATGCAGACGTGCACAGAAGCTGAGACCGTGAGCTCCTGCAACAGGGGCTACCTGGCCTGGTTCACTGACTGCATCCACAAAAACAGACCCGATGTCAGGAAGAACATGACATCTGCTGAGGCGTTGACAGAGGGTAGGGAGGCAAATCAGAAATGGATGCTTCTTCTCATTAAAATAAAAATGTGTTGAACAGGTAAGGAGTTGGCAGAGATTCTTTGATGCATCAATGACCCTGCCCCAGGTGCTCACATCCTGGACACCTTAAGGAGGTGAGATTTGGGGGAGCAGGGATTGTGAATCCTGCAGAGAAGACAGAGCTGCCTGGGGAGGAACAGACGACAAGTCCCAAGGGTCCAAGGCGGGGGGCTGTGTCCAGAAGCAGCTGCCAATTCTGTTACAAGAAAAATGCATCCCCCATTTTGCAAAATAAAATATGCCAGGGTTTTTGGTGGAAAAAGTTGTGGAACTAACATTTCTCCGTACTCTGTACTGAGAAAATGGTCCTAACAGAGCCATGCATTTGAATGGCAGGAGTACCCCAGTTCTAGTTCAATCTCCAATATTATTTAAAAGCACTGATAAAGTCTTTTAGGACATATATCTGTTGCTTCACCTTATTAAGAAGTTGTTGCTTTTAATGGATTTAAAATTAGCTAGTGTTCCATTTAGGTGGCTTTCCTTCTTTTAATTGCTTCTGTGTCTTCATCTTCTGAGAGAAAAGTTGCTGTGGTTTGGGAGCTCAATTATTACCAATCTAATTAAAAGGCTTTCTTCTTTCCAACATTCTAACTGAAACCTCATTAGAGTGAAACAGAATTTCTGTGGTGTGTCGCAGCATGGGACTGAAGTATGGCATTTCAAACTGTAATCAACACTGAGCAGCAGCCAGCCACCACCTGAGAGCGCAGCCAGCGATGCCAGGAATGGAGCCTTGCATGGAGACTAGGGAGGAAATGCCTGCAGGACCAGGGAAGAGGCTGCTGTCTGCACTCTCAGAGTGGGTCTCCTTCCACCCTCCCCATCCCAGGGCCACCCACTAGCTGAGGCTCTCAGCTTGCTCAGTCTGCACTCTGACAAGGTGTTCCACCTCTTTCCCACCCTAGTGTGCAGTGTGCCTCTCTGCCCAGACTGAATGTTTCTGTCCCCCCAAAATCCCTATGTTGAAACTGAACCCCCACTGTGATGGTATTAGGAGGGGCCTTTGGAAGATGATTATGTCAGGAAAGTGGAGCTCTCGTGACTGGGATTAGTGAGTTACAAAAGGGACCCAGAGAGTTCCCTCGCCCCTTCTGCCACGTGAGAACCCAGGGAGAAGACAGCTCTATGAATCAGGTCCTCACCAGACACAAAATCTACTGATGCCATGATCTTGGATTTTCCAGCCTCTAGAACTGTGAGAAATAAACATGTGATGTTTAAACCCCCCGGCCTGTGGTATTTTTGTTATAGCAGCTCGAGCTGACACACCGCCCCCGACACAGTCTGACCTGCACTCAGTTCCAGATGGGGCTCTCAGGCCTCCTCCAGCGCCACTGCACAAAGAATTAAGTCTAAAGTCTTTAGCACCACACACAAGCCCTTTCTACAAGCCATAGTTCAGCCAAGTGCTCATTCATTCATTCAACATATTTATGGAGCGTTTCCTGTTTCAGGCATTATGATGTCTGACATGCACAGTGAGAACTGAACAGACATTGTCCCTGAGCTCGTAGAATATAAAATGTCAATGGGGGGTTGGGATTACACAATTTAACAATGACACACCTTAATTACAAATAGTGACAAGGTCCCAGAGGAAAGGAACAGCACCTTCAGAGAAGATGACAGAGAGACAGACCTTACCTAGAGTGATGCGGGGTGGAGTTCTAAGAACAACCCTTCATCTTTACATGCTGTTATCCTGTAATACCAAAAGACATGACCCCTCACACCCTCCAAGTACACCCCTCACCCTTCAACACCTTGCTAGTTCTCACCCTCTGGGGCTGCCCTGCCCCCCACCCTCCCCCTTTATCCTGCTCAAGCCCAGGGCTAGCCAGGCAGCATGGGCTAGGGCTGCCTCCTGACTCACCAGGGTCTCCAAGCAACTCAGGCAGACCTGCAGCTTCCAACAGCAGAATCAGGAGTGGCAAGCAGAGGAATTAAGGAGGTAGATTTCAGTTTGACATGAGGAAGAACCTTCCTGTCCAACAATAGTCCAGCCTACTTCAGAAAGGACTTAGCAACCAGTTTCTGGAGTGGTAAACACGGAGGATGGCCACCTGCCTGGAGACGACACTGACACCCCTCCCACCCCACCCCTTGGTGGCTCTCCGAGGGTGCGGCCCAGGTGACTCAGGGCCTGCAAAGTCTGCAGTGGTCAGGTCTCCTCCCACACCCTGATGCCCATGTCCACACCCCCTACCTTGGCCTTCTGCCCTTCCTTCGTGCCACCCTCCCACAGTGGCCTGCTTCCTGAGTAAGTCTTCTGCAAGAGGGCCGAGGCCCAGCACGACTTCAGCTCTGCATCCAACTGCCACTGTACCTCAAAGTTTGCACATCACTGTGCACACTGAAGTGACATGGAGAACTGGGGACAATGATCAAGGCTTTGATTTAGAAAGTCGGCAGACGGATCTGCAGTTCCCAGATATCCCTCTGGCCTTGGGCAGAAGGATGTTGCTGGCAATACAGGCAGGGTCTCCACTCCCATTGCCCAGAATCTTCATAAGGACAAAACCCAATTCTTCACCCCAGAAGGGAAATTTCCTTCTCTCTCTCACCTAAATACCCTTCACTGACACCAAAGCCAATAGTCTCCTGTGCTGTACTTGAACTTGTTTGAAATCGTGAGTCAGCTAATGAAGTTGGATTCTACAGTCTCTTCCCTTACAAGCTGGATGACACTGTGGTCAAACACTGGGATTCTTGGAGGGAGGGGAAATAATATTTCTGAACCCTAGTCCCAAACCTTGGTACAAGGGTCTCTGAATAAATAACCAGGCACACTCTCTGAAGAACAGCAAGCAGCACAGGATCTGAGCATGGGTTTCAGTGATTTCAGACCCTCAGGTCACCACTAGCCTTCACTGCCCTGATGCAACCCGGCAGGACAGCGTGGAGGAGCAGACTCCATGCCAGTGAAAGACCCTTTGGGCTCCAATCTCAGCTCTCCAGTCATCAGGCACTTGGTTTCTGTGGGTTTCAATGTTCTCTTCTGGGAAATGGGGAGATACCAGCTACCCTGATCCCCTCCTGGAGTGGGAGGGATGAGGGCAGCGTCATACAAGCTGTCAAGTGTGACTCAGTGCCAGTGGCTGTCCCTGGGTAGCTGCTCTCACACACACACACACACACACACACACACACACACACAGCTCTCCCCCAAGACCCACTCTTCTTCCTGCCCCCACGACCAGACAGGAGGAGACAGGACCCATGGCTGCCATGGAATCACAGAAGGCCTGTGTGGCAAAGCACCTCCAAAGCCAACTGATTTACACCTCTCTTTTGTTTTTTAATCTGAGCACTTCAGAATATTATTCAGCCTTAAAAAAGAAGGGAATCCTGCCATTTGCGACAGCATATGGATGAACCTGGAGGACACGCTAAGTGAAATATGCCAGACAGAGAAAGACAAATACTGCATGACTCCACTTGTATGAGGAACATAAAATAATCAAACTCAGAAGCACAGAGTAGAATAGTGGCTGCCACGGATGGGGGGAGGGGGAAATGGGAGGTATTAGTCCAGTGGTATGAAGTTTCAGTTGTGCAGGATGAACAAGTCCTAGAGATCTCCTGTGAGCAGAGAGCCTTTAATTAATGATGCTGTATTGTATACTTAAAAATTTGCTAAGAGGGTATATCTTATGTTAAGTGTTGTGAAAATTAATAAAGGGAAACTTCATTTAAAATGGAGTCATGGGGCCAGAATGGGGAGCTCCCATTCAATGCAGTACCACTCAAGGTCAATTATAGCAAGATAGTCAATTACAGACCCATAACAGAAAGCAGTCAACAGGAAATAATCATCAACTATAGGAAGAAGTGTACATTGCATCCCAAACAAAAATCAACTACACCCAGCAACCCAGCCAATAAGAAGCCATCATGATGCTGAACTCTTGCTTTTCTCCAATGTACTTTTGTTCAAAACAACTCCTCCCAATTTCCTCCTTTGTTCTCTATAAAATAAGTTCGCCTCCCTTATTTGCTGAATTTGCCTATGGTCTGCCATAGCATGCACATCCTGAACTGCAATTCTTTGGCTATTACTGAATAAACTTGTTTTGCTGGTAAAATAACCAGCTGTTTTATTTTAAAGTTTGGCAGTGTTCTTATCACAGAAATACTAATTGATAAAGAGGGCAAGAGGAAACATGTGTAGGTGATGGCTATGTTTATGGTACCCCCACGAGTGATGGAGGTTTCACTGGTATATGCTTATTTCCAAACTCATCAAATTGTATATGTTAAATATGTACAGTTTTTTCAATGTCAACTATACCTCAATAAAGTGGTTTTTCAAAAAAAAGTACAGTTTAAGCAGCATGCTTTTTAAATTCAATCTCCAGGAATAATCATGCATCTGCTTTAAAGTAGACCTGTTCTGATGATGTTTAATACAATATCTTGAATTTCTACAGCAGATGTTCTTCCAGAAGTTATAGGGTGACATTGTTCAACATTACTTTGCTGAGCTCCCAACACTTTCTCTTTGCTTTTGTGTCGATGCTGAGAAGAAATAGATAACAATAAATTTGTGTCTAAATTCTTGTTTACAGAGAAAATTGCTGGATAATATAAATTCATATTGTGTAGCATTCTGGATTACTTCTTTTATTTAATTTAATCTTTACACCAACCATATTTTTGTCCTACTTTTACAAAATAATAAACTGAGAGTCTGTGATTTTCCCTGCGTCAGTGGGATATTAGGTCTGACAAAGGACTTATATCTAGAATAAGAAATAAACTCCTAAAATCAATAAGAAACAGGCAGACAATCCAATAGGAAAATGGGCAAAAGATGAACAAGCACATGATTTTCATCACAGAGTATGTCAGTAAGTGATATCTGACAATAACCTAGCTAAACTTTAAATAGAGTTTGCATTCTTCCAAATGTCATAAACACACATTTTTTTTAAACTCATTTCAGCGTCATGACAACAATCCAGCAAATTCAGTACTATTAGCATTCTCATTTAATAATGGGGCTTATGAGAGAGCTTCCAAATTTAACTTTACATGTCTTTGTTCTGTTTGAATGGTTTACAGTGAGCATATATCATCTTTATAATCAAGAGGAAAGGGATGAAAAAAGATAGAAACTGTGAAACAAAACGAGCTCACGGCCCTAGGCTCAGTATAGAAGCTGAGATCTAACCCCTTGTCTGTTTAGCTCAATATCTGTGTTTGAGCCACCACGTGACTCTGCCCCAATGTCATAACAGCGAATGCTTAGGTGATGCTAATGGAAAATGGTTCCCTCTGGTATCTGCATGGCACAGAAGTTCTCAAAGTACAGCCTGGGCACCCTGGAGTATTCAAGATACTTTCAGAGGATCAGTGAAATCAAAACTTTTGGCACATCATTAGAAGTTATTAGCCTATTTCACCATCAGCTTTTCATGAGCTTTCGGTAGAGCATTGCAGAGGCCACATGACAACATATATCAGTGGCAGATTGAATGCAGAACAGATAAGAGAAACCGGCTGACTTCCATTAAGCTGGATATTAAGAAGATTTGCAAAAATAAGGAACAATACTACCCTTCTCACTAAATTTGTTGTACTTGGAAAAATAGAATTATTTTTCATAAAATATTAGTTATGCTAACATAGCATGGGTTTGCTATAATTTTAAAGGAATTAATAGACTTTAAAATGTTTTCTTAGTTTTGTTTTGCTTTATTTTTTGAGGAAGATTAGCCCTGAGCTAACATCTGCCGCCAATCCTCCTCTTTTTGCTGAGGAAGACTGGCCCTGATGTAAAATCCGTTCCCATCTTTCTCTACTTTACATGTGGCATGCCTGACACAGTATGGCTTGCCAAGTGGTGCCATGTCCACACCTGGGATCCGAACCGTCGAACCCCGGGCCACCAAAGCGGAACATGTGCACTTAACCACTGCGCCACCAGGCCGGCCCCTCTTAGTTTTTATTTATTTATTTTTTCTTAAAGATTGGCACCTAAACTAACATCTGTTGCCCATCTTCCTTTTATTTTCTTCCTCCTTTCCCCAAAGATTCCTAGTCTCCCAGTACGTAGTTGTATATTCTAGTTGTAGGTCCTTCTGGTTCTGCTATGTGGGACGCCGCCTCAGCATGGCTTGATGAGCAGTGCTAGGTCTGTGCCCAGGATCTGAAGTGGTGAAACCCTGGGCTGCCAAAAGCAGAGTGCACAAACTTAACCACTTGGCCACAGGGCCGGACCCCTTAGTTTTTTATTTCTAACACAGTAAATAGTGATAGATAAAACCCACATACAAAAAAAATGAAGTTGATCTTCAGTAACTTTTATGAGAGTAAAGGGTGCTGAGCTTCAAAGTTTGAGAGCCGCTGGGGTAGGCTTGGGCATTCCTAACATCTCCCAGTTACTGGGCCCTGGGGTCTGTCCAGACCCCTGCTCCATCTCTGTTCTCGTTTGTGGGCTGCTGAAGGGTCTATGTCTTGGGGATACGATGTGAAACATTTATACGTCACACACAGACCTGGGACCCAGGCTCTGGTACTGTGTGGACTTGATGTGGTCCAGTGAGCTTTCTGAGACTGTTTCCTTATTTATAAAAATAGAGTGATTGCCGTCTCTCCAGTGTTGCAAAGATTAAATAGGTAGCAAAATAAAAAGTGCCTAAAACATAGTAAAGTTCTCCACCTTTTAATTATCAGAGAAAAATTCCTCCAATGCAAAGGTACTGAAGAGGCTTAGAGAGTTTGCCCAAACTGACCATTTCTCTCTACCTCAGACTACCTACTTTTAGAGGTGGCACATAATTACAGTGGTTTTATTCTCACTGAAATCCATGCTTAGAAGGTAAATATGTGGATGCCACCATTTAATTTTCTTAACGGGTTAATGGTTATTCTGTGATGAATGAATGTGCAGATATGGATCTTTTCAGAAAGAGTGTATGCCACATGACTCCCTTCACTCTTTGAAAGTTGGTCTTCCACCAGCATAGCTAAGGAACTTCACTATTTCCTTGCTAAAGTTCTGGAACACCTCAATCACAGCTGAGCTATTTATAGATATACACTTATTTCTAAC